AAAAAAAAGCAGACGCAGGCACCGGCGTTGCATTTTCGAGCAAACCGAACGTGTTATCTTATTTTCATCATCTTATGAGACTCATACGATTTTCTTGGCATTATTCGATGTTTATTCATTCGATTCTGATTGATTGGTTAATTTTTGTATTAACAATTATATTCAGAACGCAAAGTACGCCCTGTCACTGAAGACACTGTTACAGCTGCGCAAGTTAGTCCAACTCACATTCCTGCGATCAGCCCTCCTGCTCCCGTTTCTTCATCGAGAGCATCAGGAGCCAATACATCTTCGACTTCCTTCGACCTACTAGGGTTGGACATCTCATCGTCCAGTGGTGCCGGTGCTGTAGACTTCTTTGGTGTAGGTTTTTCAAAATTCTTTCGGTGTCTTTTCTGACATTAGATTGTCGTTTTTAGGATTCTGTCAAGAACACTGTATCTGGCATAAGTATTCCTCCCCCGGCAAGTACTATGCCTGGCGTATGTATTGCTCCTCCAGCTGCGGCAAAGGTGTCGCCTGCGGCACCTCTTGTTCAGCTGGGGCCGAGTTTACCTACTGATTTGTTCAGCTCTTCATCATCTACGTCGTCCCCATTCCCTGCCGCCTTTGAGTAAGCTTTGAGATTCATCTTTTCATAAGTTGGCTGCTTGTCAGATCGTTACAAAATCATGGAGCAGTCGGTTAATCGGAACCGTATTACAAACATGATCAAAAATGATAACTAGATTAAGGAGTGTGGTTTTAGGGCTGACTGGGCAGCTGCTCCTCCTGCTGCTCCACAAGTCGCTGCTTGTCCAGCTCTCAGTCCTACTGCTGGCGGATTACCTACCAATGTGAGCAATTCTTTATTTACGTTTTTTTAAGTACGGAATAAATTACTAAGTTGTTATATCTTCTAGCACGGAATAGATTCGTGAGTTTTCCTCCTATGGAGGTTATGTTATTGCTACCAGCTGAGTCCATTTCCTCACGTCACTTCCATGACAGATTGTAATGTTTTGATGTATCCCAACTATCGAAATCGGTGCAGGGCAACCCGTTTTCTTCTGTCAAAAGTACTACGCGCTTTTTTTTCATAAACAAAATTATTTACTACAACAAAACTGTCTGTCTTGATTAGACTCTGTTAGCTTGCAAATTACTGATTTGCTTTAGCAGAACAATGCCGTTGATATCTTTGGTGACTTCGATGCACTTCCCAAAACGAGTCCGAAAGTTTCGTCTCCTGCTAAATCGGTAAACAACATTCATCTAAGCTCGTTAAATAGTTGCTTTGTATAGTTTCATTTGCCACATCATTTTAGCCGGTCGCTAACGGAGGATCATCTAACACTACATCTACAAAGATCGGCAGCACTTGGGCTGGCGCAACTGGTTTGATCGACTTAGATAATCTTGCGGGTAAAAGTACTCCTACAAAGCAGAATCCATCACTGAATCAAATGCAGATGATCAAACAAGGTATTTCTTGAAATTTCTGACTACATTTTTGGCACTTTCGCTAGCTATGAAAAAGAAACCACTGCTTTTTTGTTTTCTTTCGGCCTCTATATCTTTCAAGCGATGTGCTTGGCTTTGG